TGATCTTTTAATGTTAATGTAGAAATATTATGTTATGTTGTTCCTGCAGCGCGCTGAGTTTGGGCGTTTCTAAACTAACATAAGTTCATTCCAGTTCACAGGAGGAGGCAGGATGCAGACTGTGGGAGAGTAGGTCCACAGAGAAGGATTTAAAGAGAATCTCAGATCTTACCATCTGGTATATAATTCAGATCTGCGAAAAACAAACACAACCAGCGATATATTTAGTGTGTGTGTGTGTGTGTGTGTGTGTGTGTGTGTGTGCAGGAGGACGTAATGAAAACCCTTCTGAAAGAGGATCTTTGTGCATTTAGATCCATCGGACAGAGGAAGGTGTCTGGTATTAAATAGCCTTTGAGAAAATATACAAACTGGTCCGTCTTCTATTTCACATCTGTCTTATTCTATTTCAGCTTGTTTTTATTTGGCTCTAAAATGACTGTTTAAATAGTTTTTACATAAATGTGTTTCGTTTGCACTCTGTCTTTTGTCTTTTTGATGTTTCAAGTGAAGCGCTTTAAATTGCATTGTCACTTAAATGAGGTGCATAAATAAACTGGCCCTGCATGCATGGACCAACATGTATCTGCTGATGAAGCTACATTTTAAACTGTGGGTGCAGTTAGAGAGCTAACAGTATGAAAGGTTTACTGAGAGGTTAATGCAGCCGAGCAGGAAACCTACAGTCAAACATGCAAAGTGGAAGTATGTTCAATAGAATATCTTTATCGAGAGTTAGTGATTTATTGGGTTGTTTTGAGATCCTTTAATTAAGTAAAAGTAGCAAAAGCACATTGTAAATATGCAAAATGTAAAAGTTTACTTTTGGTAAGTACAGAATCAGCAGCATGTACTTGTGCTTCAAAGGGTACATTTGAGGATTCGTCTCTGTTTTTTCCAGGGTTGTGTTGTTGACGGATTGAACAATGTTCACTGGATTTTTTTGAAAATAAAATCCTGAAGCATATCAATGTTTTCACTATTTGACGTGGTGGTCTTTATTTTGTACCCAAGCACTTTTGACATCTGTGAGAAAATAAACTGTGCTTTTCCAGATAATTACATTGTTATGTAAGATCTTTATTATTGTGGGAAACAAAGTTGTTAGTAGAGGTCACAGGCAAATATTTTCATCTAAATATATGGATGAATAGAGGAGAGTATCGGTGCTCCAGGAATATAAGAGACACCTTGATGGGAGATTCTGAGACACAGATAATCTCTGAACCTAAGTGTCCATGATGCTTTGGGGATGTAAACAGGAAGTATAATGTCACAGTCCAACGTCAAGTCCAAGTTCTAAACTTTGTGCTTCAATTCCCAAGCAAGTCATTATTCACCAGAGCAAGTCATTATTCACCAGAACAAGTCATTATTCACCAGAGCAAGTCATTATTCACCAGAGCAAGTCATTATTCACCAGAGCAAGTCATTATTCACCAGAGCAAGTCATTATTCACCAGAACAAGTCATTATTCACCAGAACAAGTCATTATTCACCAGCGTAACAGACATGGTGAGAACAGAATAGATCAACAAGTCAAATCACAGTGTGGATCCAGGAGAATGAAGAGCAACTACAGCTTCCACCATCATTACCTTATATATTTTTGGGTTGCTTAAGATGATGCAAGCTGTAAAGTAACTATTGCTGTTATGAATTTTGTTTCGTCTATCAGAACTTCATCCCTGTAAACAGCTTCCTGCTGCAGAACAAGTCTGAGAAGAGAGGTGAGAGTGAAACAAAACAGTAAAACCCAAACAAGCTGAACTGCAAAGTTGGGGGATAATTAATAATGTTTTTTTCCCTCTAAATTGTGTGAAAAACATAAATAAAAGTGCTTTTAAAAAAGAAGACTTACAGGGAAAATTCAGAAATGAAGCAAGAAAGTTTTATAGTCAATCGTGGCCTAAATTCCCCGCAGAGTTTAATGTTGTCTACACTGCAGAAAGCATGAAAGCAGTACAGGAAAGCATCCAAACAGTCCACTTATCAGAGGCATCTGGGATTACCAGTAATGACAACTGTGACTCCAGGGAGTGTGGGACGACTTGAATAATTCATTTCACATCAATACTGTGGAAAGCTGGGAGTGTTTCATTCGAGCTGGAAGTGAAACAAAACAAAAAGAAAAGTGATTAAGTTGCGTCTCCGGTACAAAAAGCCCTGAAATGAAACGTTTGATAATGAAGGGGGATGTCGCCCTCTTGTGGAGAAGACAGGCTTCTATCTATCTGACAGACAAGACGAGCAAAAAGATTGCTTGGTTTCTTTTTACAATAACCTGACAGCTGCCGTTGGCATCAGGCCCTTATAGGACTATTTACTCTAAGTCTTCTATATATAAGTCATCTCAGTTCCTCCTCACACACCTGGTAACACATTCATTCTCTCTGAAATCCAGTACAGGAAGAAACAGAAAGCAGTATTGTGCGTATGATGACTTCTATACAGGAAGTAGGTGTGCCTTCTGAGCAGAAAGGACGCAGGCCTGAAATAGATGTGTGATTTCTGTTTATTCCACTGTAAATTAATATCACTTTCATTTGAGTTCATGTTTACTAATTCATAACTGTTTTAAATTGGTAACAAATTACTTGGATGACTCTGTGACTGTTTTTGTACCTTCCGGTTTACTTAACCTCTGCGTCTTTTTGCTGCCTCTCCTCAAACATGTTCTGTTTTTCTTTTTTCTGTTTGTGTGGACGAGCAGATGCATTTATTTATTCTCAGTTTGAGTCATGGACGCTTTCAGCTCTGTGTCAGCGATGACGTCTGAGGCGAGAAGGGGGCTGTGTGTGGTGGTTCTGCTGAGGTCAAACAGATGCTGGTACTGAAAACATCTCCTCTCACGTATCTGATAAACAGACTAGATGAAAACAAGATGAGGCGCCCATCTGTGATCAGCTGGTGCTCCTGCCTCAGACGAAGCTTGACTAATAAAACTGGACTGTGCAAATAAAAGCATTTAGATAAGATGTATACGTCCTGAAGGTTACGGCACTATTCAAGCAGATAAAGATGTCTTTAGATATAAAAGCTTAAAAGCTGAATTAAAGTTACCACAACAGACATATACACCCGTATCTGTACAGAAACGTGTCGATATGACTCCAGTTATTTTGTCCACACGGGAGATTTTTGACAAGTTAAGCAACTCCCAACTTTTTAAGGGCTTATGTACCAAAATATGAGTTCTACTGAGAATAGCTATGGAAGCCCATTTTCGCCAATGTGATGAATAAAGTCATTATAATTACAAACTTCATTTTGACACACTAACTCATTATTTTGATAATATGACATTGTTTTCAGATACAAAGTCATTATTTTAAGAAACAAAGTTATTATCTTGAGGTACTAAGTCATTCATTTTTCGATATTTGGTCAGTATTTTGACATACTAAGTCATTATCTAGTGAAACTAAGTCAAAATAATTTGAAAATACCACATACTAAGTCAATATTTTGACATAAGCCAAAATATTGAGAAAGCTTTTCATTATTTTGACATAGAAAGTTATATTTTTGCAATACTAAGTGATTATTTTGACATACAAAGTTTTTCTTTTAAAGTACTGAGCAAACTTCACAGTATTTGTAGATGCTGACTCATTACTTCAAGATAGGTTCTCATTATAACGACTAAAAGGATCTTTTATGTAAATGTGCTTCCAACCATATCTCCATGTTAAAATGACAAAAGGGAAAAAAACAAACAGAGGAAGTGAAGACTAAATAAAAGTGCTCATGTTCGGACAAGCTTATCATCTTCAGGCAGACATTTCCTTGCTGAGCCAGGGTCCCCTTCCAGAATATTACCTCACTCTCCATCCCTCTAGGCATCACACATAAAAAGGTTTCCTAACGTGCCTCGTCTCCTTTTAAGTTGATCTAACATACAGCAAGGAAACATTTTAGGGTGCAACTTCAAATGTAAAAGAGGCAGTAGGTCACGGCTGATAGATCTGAATCTCATAAAATAGAGGGCGTAGAGCGACAGAGTGACAAAGATCATGTGTGGAGGCGTTACTGTTAAAACAGAAACTAAAGACAACCCACAATCCTGTTGAAGCAGAGAAGATGTCCAGTGTGTTTTTTGTTTTCTTACTCTGTGGGTTTGAGGCGGTGTTTGTGACGTTAGTACACCAGCAGAGCAGCAGCAGACGGAGAAGACAACAACACATGTGAGGCTGAGCATGAAGTATTAGCAGAGAGAAGTGAGATTATTACAGTGCTGTTAATAAACGCTGAGGGAAGAATGGGAAAGCTTCTTCTCTTTTCACTGGTTGCTGTTCTCTGTTTCAGTGGTTCTCTTCAAAAGAAAGGTGAGTTAAAGATTAAAACTTCTGTGTTATATAGTTTGCTTTACAGTGATGATGTCAATTGAATTGTTAAATAAGATTGACTGTATGTTAATTTGCTCATTCTGAAGACAATAAGTGATCTTTGATTTAGTTGTTTCCAAGTTAAAGTGGAATCAGCGCTGGTGGAAAGTAACTAAGTGCATTTACTCAAGTACTACTTAAGTACAACTTCAAGGTACTTGTACTTTACATGAGTATTTCCATTTTATACTTTATTTTATGTGTTGATGTTGAATGTTTGTGATAAACTGAAGGATGAAGTGTTTCCTTTATGTGTAGATGTTGAATGTTTGTGATAAACTGAAGGATGAAGTGTTCCTTTATGTGTAGATGAATGTTTGTGATAAACTGAAGGATGAAGTGTTCCTTTATGTGTTGATGATGAATGTTTGTGATAAACTGAAGGATGAAGTGTT